CATCTTCGCAAGCTTGAGCACTTGATTTCTTCGTCAAGCCGGTTGGATTTGCCTCTATTACTCTTGGGTTCTTGGAACCCTAGCCGGCTAGGCATCGCCCAAGAGCTTTCATTTTGTGGAAGAACCTTGGAAAGTTTGTATTACCCTTGATTTCTTAGTGGAAAGCTCAAGTGACCTTTGTGGTTGCTTTGAGAGAGGAAAGGAGGTGGAAGAGACTCTAACCTTTGTGGTCACCTCAACAACGAGGACGTAGGAGCTCCTTAGTCGGGTTGCCAAACCTCGGGATAAATCCTTTTGTCCCTTGTGCTTGTTGTTGAAGTACTTGCTCGATATTATTTGTATGTATTTCTCTCTCTCTCTCTCTTAACCTCTCTCTTAGGCACTTGGAGCTTGATCTACCATTTGGAGGTATCTCTACATCAAGGAAGTGGTCTAACATCTTCACCTTACCACTAGGAAGTGGGGTTGTAAGTTATTGACCTCACAAAGTTCATTTGAGCACTTTGTAGTTCTTTCCCCGTAGGCGTCGGGACTGCTGACAGTTTGCGCCGAAACTTCTGATGACGTCAGGAGTTCCGACCCAAACTGTCGAGACTTCCGACAGTTGCTGACAAGTGACTTTGAGGTTTGTGTAGAAATTTTTAGATACGCCTATTCACCCCTCTCTAGGCATTATTTAAATCCTTTCAACAACCCTTGTAGAGTTAGGGCAAACCTTGCATTTCGCCATTTGTCTTACTAATCAAGTTACTCTAGTGTTTTGTAGAATTTTAATAGGCTATTCACCCCCTTCTAGCCATAGTAGGACCTTTCACCCGACGGCGGCGGCGGCGCCCTCCCCATTGTTTTTTCTCCCTCGGAGCAGAAGGGGGTAATTTAGACATTTCGCACATCTACCGGTGGCCAAACTAACATAATACCCTCACAAACAGAAGGCCATATAAAGAAGGAAATTTCGGTTTGGGGCCATACACGTAAGTTCAAGAAAAAAATGTCATATAAGAAAGATATATTTTTTCGAGGGCCATATAGGTAAAAAGCTTTTGTTTAATGACCCACCCCTGCAAAGTGCAAATGCAGAAGCCAGTCTGGCATGGCAACTGAGATTACGATATTTCATAAAAAAATGAGATTACGATAAGCTTAGTTGATCTTTGCATGCAAGAGCAAGACGGTGAAAGAAAAATACTAACGGGCGACGGCGACCAACTCAGGCAGAGGCGAGGCCGAGGGCTAGCTCGGGCGGTCCGTCTTCGCAGTGGCGAACGGCGGGACGCAGGTTCGATCCCTGAGATCGACTGCGTTTCCTCATCGGGATTTATTTCTACGGGATTTATTCCCAAAAAATAAAATTTGCAGGTATCCTCAGGTGCCTATGGACCACGATGGGAGGTGACGCGCCCGTCGCTAGCGGAGCTAGAATCTTCGTGAATTTCTTGTATACGTGTGTTGGTATAGGTTTTAGGTCTAGCGTACGCTCTAGGGGAATGTGTTGATGTGCGCTGGGGTGTAGTGTGCGTTGTGTTTGAGCGTACGTTCAAATACTGCAACTTGTACGAATAAAAAAAACTCAGGCAGAGGCAAATGCCATGCCAAGTTGTCAAGTCCATCTGTTCTCCAACAACGTACTAGTAGCCTCTGTCGCATGTTCCTGTCGTGTTGCTCGGGCCGCACATATGCATATGCATGTCCATGGGCCATGGCGGTACCAGTAAAAATCAGGAATGGGTTGAATGGAACGAACGCTCATGAAACATGTCGCTGGTCACCACGCCTGCGTGGCTGCATCATACTAGCACTTGCAGCGCCACCAACCTCCACCGAGCTTGTTATAGTCAAAAAAAAAAAACTCCACCGAGCTTTGTCGTTGCCGTGCGCCGCACCCGTACAGCATGGAGAGTTGGAGACCAGATGAACCTTAGCGGCTTATTATATGCTTATCTGCCAGATTGCCAGCTTGGAGCCGTAAGCAATGAATAATAACTGCATCGACGCCAATATTAGCTTTCAGTTGGTGTGGTGTGGGTTGCATTCGAATCGGTGTCACGCAGGTCACACACACGTCGACCACACGGGGGCCGGTACCAAGGTGGCAAGGAGGAGTCGCGAGAGTCGATGGACTCCGCAGTGGTCAGTGGTCACCAGTCAGCACCGGCGAAGGATGGTCGAGGGAAACAGACAGAAACAGTGATGAAGGAGATGGATCGATCCTCAAGTTGAAAGCCCATATCCGGTCCATATGAATTGGTGGCCTGCCCACGTCGCGGGCTCTCGTCTGCCGGTCCGCGGCCCGTCCCTGCGCTCACGCTAGTATAGGAGTAAGCCCACCTGCGCGCTGCAGCATCTCTCCCAAAAGGTCCAGCAACGGCCGCACAGCTGCCCGCGACGAGACGACGCGGAACGGGTCATACGCGCATGGAGCCATGGGTTCTTGGGTTGGGTCGCGGAGTTTTTTGCCTGGCCGTGTCGCTCCGGAAATCCCAGCCCAGAAGCACGAGCCAGTAGGCCACTCGTTAAGGCCCCGTTTGGCCGGGCTCCCGCGGGATCCGGCTCCGGCACTGTAGCACCCTGTCGGCCTCCCACGAGCCGACACGCCGGAGCTGGTGAAGCTCGAATTTCTGGCTCCGGCTGCTGCGGCGGCGTGTGTGAGAGGGGGAGAAAGGAGAGAGAAAAACGGCTTTGATGAACAGTGAAATACGTATGGATGAACAGTGATTTCGGCGCAGGAGCCGGAGCCAGCCAAACGGTGTATGTACGTATACAGGCAAGGCATTTTGTCTGCACATGTGTCATGTGTGATGTATACTCACGTACGCGCGGCCCGGGGTCGGTCAGCTGGTCCCCTGAGCAGAGCAATTCATTTCCCGTCCTCGGTCAGCTCGGAACTTTTGTCATCACCTGTATTTGTATGCGTATGCATATCAGCCAGCTAGCGTCTGCCTATCCTATCCTTCCTGTGGCTGGGCGCCTGGGCCTGGGCGCGCCTTGGCCGACCTTACATCGTCGTGAGCTGTATCACTGTGTGCGCACCACCAGCTGGCTGCGTCACCAGGGCCTTGTTTAGTTGGCCGAATTCGGCGTCGCCGGATTTACTATAGCGCACTGTAGCATTTCGTTTGTATTCGGTAATAATTGTCCAATTATTGACTAATTAGGCTCAAAACGTTCGTCACGCAAAGTACAATCTAACTGTGCAATTAGTTTTTGATTTTATCTACATTTAGTACTCCATGCATGTGCCACAGGTTTGATGTGACGAGAAATCTTCTTTTTGCATAGTATCAAAGTTGGGAGTTGAGAGCAACTAAACAAGCTCCAGCTGTCGAAAGACCTGGACCGCCCGTTGCGCGGTTGTGCCAGGGCCTGGGTCTGGGTCCGGCCCTCGTTCGTCGTCCTAGTCCATGTTGCCATGCATCTTGACGGTCGTGCATGTGAACCCTGAACGCTAAGGGCGTCCCCAATAGTTCCAAAATACTGGCTATCAAGGAGAGATATCAAATAGCTAGCGACTCTCAAATAGTTAGACTAGCACGATTTTCCAAAAACACCTCTGTCACAGCTCACGTAACTTTACACTACAGTGTTCATTTTTTATTATTTCTATGCCATGTCTAGCTAACTATTTGCAAATTACCGTTACGGACGCCCTAGCAAGCGTGCGCGCAAAGGATTTCCCTCCCGAACTCCGACGCAAGCGTCGCTGTCCCCTCTTGTGTTTTCCCGCGGCGCCCCTGTTCATGCCATGCCAAGTGCGGCAGGGGTGCAACCGTGCATGGCTCTACGAAAGTCGAAAGGGAAAGACGACGCACAAACGCTATTGGATACCCAGCTGTGCGCTAGCAGGACCGGAGAGGGACGGACGAGGACGGCGGAGATGGATGTTTCTGGGCTTCCCGCCGGCGAGAAAAAGTGCGCGCGAGACGCTAGCGAGCGACCGGGACAGCTGGGGGTATCCGCAACGCCGACCCAACACGCACGCAGTGCGCTCGCCGTATCCGCGGACCGGGTGGCGGTACCGTCTCGCCGGATGCGCCGTATGGGTGGTGGCCGTTGGCTGGTTTCCACATTTCTGAGATTTTCTCCACAGGGCAGTAGGCGTTGCCGCTGCTGCTGGGCTTTTCCTTTTGCTGGAACCGGTGCACTGCACCAATGGAACCTAAGGACCAACTTGTCCGTGCTCTTGACGGTTTAGTCCCCTATAAAGTACTGCCAATGTACCATGACAGTAAGCATAACCGCAGCTATCGCAACGGCACGCAAAGAATGCTGCTTTGGACGGGAGCTCTCTAGATGGAAATGGAACCGCCACGGCTTTCAGTGGGTGCGCAGTGCGCTCTCGTCGTGCATGTGCTGGGGCTCCTACGCGTGCGCCCGGCCGGCTCGGATGCCTATGGCTCCAGGCCAAAATTTGTTGCGCGCCCTGTGGCCACGAGACGGTTGGTACCTGTCTGTGTCGCCTGGTCCTCACCACGATTCGCCATAAACCGAGAAAGGGCCAGCCATATGGAATGACAACGGAATTTGGTTCTGCACTACAAGAAAAGTTCAGTGCTGCTGGCCCTTGTTTCTCCTGGGAACCGATCTTTTTTCGACTCAGCGACAGGACTCAAAATCACAACTGATGCCATGAGTGGATTTTTAATCCGGCACTAGGGACCATTGCACCAAACCCAGTACAGTATATCTAGTAATCTACCGCAGCTGGCAGCCAGAGAAAACAAATGTAAAAACGCACAACATCCGTCCGTCGTCCAGCTCCTGCCGCCTCGAGCTTCCAAACAACCACCGCGTTCCGCTTCCGCACCGCACTCCTTAAACCCCGCAATCAATTCACTCCAACACTAATCCCCCACCCCACCTCCCCTTCTCTCTCCACCACCTTTCCCCACCCCCCGTCTTTCTCTCCCCTCCCAAATCGAGCCAGCCAGGGGCACGCACCACCATCATCTCACCGCCGCCGTCGCCTTTACTCTCTCACACTACCAAGCTAGCTTTCGCCCATGGGCGCGCCGCTGCTCCGCCGCCGCCTCCTGCTGTCTCTCGCGCTCCTCGCCGCCTGCTGCGCGGGTGCGTCGGTGGCGGCGGCGCCCAGGCTGTCGCCCAACTACTACCGCCACAGCTGCCCGCGCGTGGAGCGGATCGTGTCGGACGTCATCGCGGCCAAACAGCGCGCCAACCCGTCGACGGCGGCGGGCACGCTGCGGCTCTTCTTCCACGACTGCTTCGTCAACGGCTGCGACGCCTCCGTGCTCATCTCCCCGCTCTCCTCCGACACCGCCCCGGAACGCGCCGCGGAGATCAACCTCTCCCTGCCCGGGGACGCCTTCGACGCCGTGGGCCGCGCCAAGGCGGCGCTGGAGGCCGCCTGCCCCGGCGTGGTCTCCTGCGCCGACGTCCTGGCGCTGGCGGCGCGGGACCTCGTGGCTATCCTGGGCGGGCCACGGTTCCCCGTCGCGCTGGGCCGCCGTGACTCCGCCCGCTCCGACGCGCGCGACGTGGACGGCAACCTGCCCCGCACCAACATGTCGGCGCGCGCCATGGTGCGGCTCTTCGCGGGGAAGGGACTCACGGCCCGGGAGATGGTGGCGCTGGCCGGCGCCCACACCGTGGGATTCTCCCACTGCGCCGAGTTCGCGCACCGCATCTACGGCTACCGGGGCGCCGCCGGGCACGACCCGCGGCTCAACCCGGAGTTCGCGCGCGCGCTGCAGCGCTCCTGCGCGGGATACCGGACCGACCCCACCGTCTCCATCTTCAACGACATCGTCACGCCACGGGACTTCGACGAGGCCTACTACAAGAACCTGCCCCACGGGCTGGGCCTGCTCGCCTCCGACGCCGCCATCTGGGAGTACCCGCCCACCCGGGTGTTCGCGCAGCGGTACGCCGCCAACCGCACCGCCTTCTTCGAGGACTTCGCCGCCGCCATGCAGAGGCTCGGCGCCGTCGGCGTCAAGACCGGGCGCCAGGGCGTCGTCAGGCGCCGCTGCGACGCGCTCGACTGAGTAGGCGTTCGTCGACGGCGTTGCTTGGTGTGGCATTGGGTCGATCGGTGCTTGTAAGGGTTCCAATTCGATAGCTTAGGATTCGATGACGGGAGAGGAGGGGCTCTTCTTTCTTTGTACTTGAAAACTGAGGGCAAGCTAATTCTGAATTGCGTACCAATGGGGTTACATTTTTACAGAGGCTTGGCAACCATGGGTGAAATCTCCCAGATCATGAGACTGACCAGCGATGCTTGTTCGTCGTGAACCTGCCGCACGCACCGTCGGTGTTCTTGGCGTGGCGCCATCATCTCGTTGTCGTTTACTCGTTTCAGGTGCGGCCGTTGCATCCTGTCGTCGTCCATGACTACATGAGAACGTCCACATCTGACAGTAGCACGTCCCCTTTGTTACTGCACGATTACTAGCGCAAGAAATTAACAGTTCGCTGCAGACGAAGTAGGAGTATCTCAAGCCGCGCCGAAGGATCCAAGCAGCAACGGACGTCCTCCGGTGCACCTGCAGCCATTTGTGTCGGCACACGGAGCCGAAGGGCGGCATTGGCTGCTGCCTTTTTGTGTGGGTGCTCGTGATCGGTTCTGGATGCTGCCAATGGGCCAATGGGACGCCCGACGCCCCCCATTAAAACCGACCAACCTGGCCGACCCGTTGCTCTACCACGAGGCCACGACGGCTGCTGTCCACCGCGAACAGCAAGTCCGACTGCTCGAGCCCTGCTAGGCAAAGCCTTCGACTGATTTGAATAAAGGGCCCTCATGGGCAGGCGACTGCATCTGCATTCGAGTCGGCAGTCGGGAAATGACGCTGGCCCGGACACAAGGTTCTGCATCCACGCCACGATCTATCAACTCCGAGCCGTTGTACGATGATTAGATTAGCCAGAAGCATAAGAGAGCCACTGGTATGGGTGATGGGTCCTGCTCATCCGCTACTCGTACGGATTATTAACCACCAGCTAGTTCCATGGGGATGACCGGATGATGTCTTGTAACACGACAGGCAAGCATGGGTACTAATCACTAATCAGTCAACATAGGTGTGCACAACACATGAGACAGGAGGGAGGAGAGATGACAAAACGGCATCACACTAGGCTCATGGCTTCATCGTTAGGGCGTGTTTGGTTCTGCCATAATTTGCCACAGCTCTCGCGCCTAAGCTTAGGCGTCCGTTTGATTCGTTGCCGAGCTTACGGCGTGTCGCAACGCAGCCATAGCGCGTTAGTTCATTTTACTTGCCACTGACTGCCAAAAGTCTGGCGCACAAAAAACTCGTCGTAATTTTGGCACAACCACGGCCGTGGCGTGCCACGCACAGGCGTACGCTAAACACGTCCTAGGTATTACTCCCTCTAGTACATAAAATGATGCAATTCTCGCATTTCGAGGAGTGAACTTTATCTAAAGTTATATAAAAGTACTAACATTTAAGATAAAAATACCATTAGATTAGTTATAGAATATATCATTATAATAAATTTATTTAGAGATATAACGCTAATACTGTAAGGATCCCAGCTAAGCCTAGAGTGGGGCATGAATAGGCCTTGAAAAATCTTCAACACAAACTCAACACAGCAAGTTAGCAACTGTCGGTAGTACCGACGTCTGTCGGTGGTATTGATGTCAAGCGTCCGTAGTACCAACACCTACAGGAGAGCTACAAAATTAGAGATAAAAGAGCTTCAAAATCATATCTAAGTTTTACCCCACTTTCTGAGATGTAGATGAAGGTGGTGTGGTACTCCCTTGCCCTTGGAGCACCAGTAGTTCGGGGCCAAAACCTAAGAAATAGTTGGAGGGAGAGAGAGACAACGAAGAACAAATAATCACAACAACAAAAAACACGCGGAACACAAGGATTTATCCCGAGGTTCGGTTGCCCCACTAAGGAGCACCTACGTCCCTATTGTTGAGGTGACCACTAAGGTTGGAGTTTCTTTCACCTTCTTACCTCTCTCAAGGAACCACAAAGGTCAACTTGAGTTCTTCACTTAAAAAAAGGGTGATACAAACTTACCAAGATTCTCTCACAGATCGGGAGCTCTTGGGCAACGCCTAGATGGCTAGGGGTAAAGCCCCAAGAGTAACAAACGCAAATCCAGCCGGCTTATCGAAGAAATCAAGTGCTCAAGCTTTGAATCGATGTTTCTCTCACCAAATCGCTTCTCTCAACTCAAACTCTTGCAAGATTTGAAGCTAGGAGCAAAGGGGAGAGAAGAGAGGAGCTTTTGGGAGCGAGGCGCTTTGGTCAGAGAGGTGTTCGAGTGGAATGAGTGGAGTCATGGACCACTCCGTTTCGATACCTAGGCATTCCAATGCATCACAAAAGACTTAGTAATGCGGGAGAAATTTGAAAAAAGATTGAGTGGCTGGAAAGATAAATTGCTGTCATATGGAGGCCGCCTAGTTTTAATAAATTCTGTGCTAAGCAGTCTACTAATATTTATGTTATCCTTCTTGGAGATTCTGAAAGCGATACTACATAAACTGGACTGTTATACATCTAGGTTTTTCTGGCAAGGGGATAATCATAAAAAGAAGTACATACTAGCTAAATATAGTATTATATGCAGACTGAAAGAACGAAGAGGTCTGGGTATACTAGATCTAGATAGCCAGAACAAATGTTTACTTAGTAAAAGGCTATACAACTTAATTAATGAGGATGGGGCATGGCAACAAGTCTTAAGAAACAAATACCTCAGCAACAAATCAATTACTCACGTGTATAAAAAGCCTAGCGATTCACAATTTTGGACAGGTCTAATGAATGTCAAAAATCAATAAGTTTTGGAAATTTTAGATTACAAGATGGAAAACACGTTAGATTCTGGGAAGATAAGTGATTAGGCATGTCTAGTTTAAAAGAGCAATATCCAAATCTATATAATATAGTGAGAAGGAAAAATGCTATGGTTGCTGATATCATGAGTTTTGTACCTTTTAACATTTCATTTCGAAGATCTTTAGTGGGCCAAAACTTGGTTTCTTGGCATAATTTGGTTTTACCACTTGTAAATGTACATTTAGATGATCATCCGGATACATTCATATGGTCTCTTCATCAGAATGGACGATTTTCTATAGCATCAATGTATAATGCTATGTCGAATTCAGATTTTATTTCATATAAAAGATACTTATAAAATTAAGATATCTTTAAAGGTGAAAGTTTTTCTTTGGTTTTTGTACAAAGGGGTCACGCTTACCAAAGATAACTTAATTAAGAGAAATTGGCATGGAAATGAGAAATATTATTATTTAAATAACCTTGAGACTATACAACATTTATTTTTTGATTGTGTTCTTGCTAAGTTCATTTGGAGAGTGGTACAATTAACTTTTGGCCTAAGATCTCCTATAAGTGTGACGCAATTGTTTGGAGCATAGCTTGATAATACCATGTCAAGTAAAAAACTCTTAGTACTAGTAGGGGCAGGCGTCATATGATATTGTTTTTGATAACATACCCGCCTCGTCTTTTATGTAGGTTATCTATAGGGGAAGCATTAAATCATGACATGGTCACTGTTCCAAAAGGAGGAGGAGTGCAGCTTGTTGCGTAATGCATGCCATCTACTGGAAACTTCGACAATGGAGATCTTCGCCAGATATGAATGGAGGTTTAGCAATAGATTAAGTCTGTGATGAATTTCTTTTGCTTTATCTCAGCAGTTTTGTTTAGCTGGTGGATGTGAGTGCTATGTGGGTGACGGAGTCTATCCCATACACTGGTAGAGAACCGAGCTTTACTCCCGGTGGGGAACCCCCTCTAGTCCCGGTTCTCCACCCGGGAGCAAGCATCCGGGACTAAAAGGGTTCTTTAGTCCCGGGTCAGGAACCGGGACTAAAGGAGGACCTTTAGTCCCGATGGGTAACATCAACCGGGACTAAAGGTGTCTTCTGACATGCCACGATGGTCGGCACCTTTAGTCCCGGTTGGTAATACGAACCGGGACTAAAGGTTTTTTTCTTTTTTCTTTTCTTTTCATTTTTTTGTTTTCGAAGTCGTATTGTACGCTGCTAATTATACATTTATACGCGCGTATAGTATGTTTCGGTTCAAGCACAATGAACATATTAAATCACACAATTCAAGCATATAATATATATATATATATATATATATGCATGCATGCATCATATATATATTTACATGCATGCATGCATATGTGTATTTTACATTATATTATTTCATGTGCATATATTACAAAAAGATTGCATTACAGTTGTTGTGATATAACAAGTTTTCTCTCATCCTCTAGCTTGGCTTCTATGGCAGTGTTGGGTTGAAGTAGAACTCGCCCTTGGAATCGATGACCTGCTCATTAAAAATCCGGCTATAGACTCTTGAATTGCTTTGATTTGGTCTTGCCATATGACCTTTTCCTCCAACCATCGAGTCTACAGGTTTGAATTAAAGGAAAAAATAAATTAATATATGTACATATATTTATATAAAGACATAATAACACAATCAATAATAATAATTAAATGAATATATAGTGTATTTTTAACGTACTTTGAGTCTCTCTGTAGGAGTTCTTTGGGAGATCACCTTGATAAACTTGCAAACATAGTAACCACAGTAGTTGTTCCCCTGTTCTCGCCTCGAGACACCACTTTACGAGAAAAAGATTTGTCATCCAATCTGTGATCCGTGAAAGCTATATGTTTAATTAATAAAGATGATGCGATTCAGGGGACTTACTTTCAAAGGGATTACATTCAAAGTGGCGCTTTGCATTTTTCCATGTGTTGTTTCTCAATAAAGGTTTTCCAAACACCGCCTAATAAAAAAAAATTTGCCACGCCATCGATATAGTTAATCATCATGTTTGTGTGTATATATAGTTGCTAGAGATCCCGAAATTACCTCTCGGATAATATCTATCATATCTTGGTAGTCTTGTTGTGGTTTTCATCGAGTCATAGATTATCAAGTGACTTTTCACCGGATCGATGTCCATCAATATCCAAAGGATTGCTGCATGTGTTTATAGGATATAACGCATAACACTCATTAATTAACTAGAATCAACATATGAGCCATTAAGGATGATCGATATTATTAACACTCACTTGAAGTTATAGGGAAAGAGTATATCCTTCTTGTGGCGTTGGTTCACTAAGAAGTTCATGAGGTTACTCTCTGACTCAGACTTCCAATTAGTCTTTGGAGTAATTGGGTCTTTGAATATTATATGGGGATCAACAAAACCAATTTCATTGTAGCCTTCCTTTCTGAGCTTTGTCATTGTAAATCTACATATATATAGTACTTGTTAGGATAATTTATATGCATATACACACATATGATGAGTTTAATAATAGATCGAAAGAATTATTACTTACAGGCAATAGCAGCTAATGATAACTTTGTCCAGAGAGGTTAGGTGGCATAG